TCTACCCCCGCCCCCTTTATTTTCTACCCCGGTACTTTCCTTTGTCGGTTATATTCCTTCTGAGAGTTAGTCAATGAGAGGACGCTGCCCCACAAATATACATTTATAATAACCCGGATTCAACAATACCGAGCATAATCTCCAGAATATTGAGCGATTTCAACATCGACCCCGACTATCACAACGTATTCGCATCCACCAGATAATGCACGAAGTCATGACTGTTCCGACTCCCGCAACACAGTCGACCAAGAAGGCTGTTAGTGTTCAAGAGAGAAAGTACAAGTGCGCTTACTGCTCAAGAGCATTTAGTAGGTCGGAACATAGAAGCAGACACGAGAGATCACGTATGTGTTCCTGCTATTTTTCCCTCCACGGAGATTTGCTCGGCTCCTTCCTTTTACTGACTTGAACAATAGATACGAAAGAGCGACCATTCAAGTGTCTCAAGTGCCGAAGCACCTTCGTAAGACGAGATCTCCTCCTCCGACACGACCGAACAGTCCATGCCAAAGATGGGGGTGTGCCCTTGCACAGTGAGGTTAAGAGGAGGTCTACAAAGAACTCGGCCTCGGCTGGCCCAACAAAACCTTCAATAGCTATCGAACAGGCAACGATCGAGCAGTTGGAGGGTGATGGAGGCATGGATGATTTGGAGACAGCTGCTGCGTTAATGACGGAGTTACATCATGCCGCAGCGGCAGCTATTGTGGATCATGAACAGGAAATGCTGTTGCAAGAAAAATCCAGACGCTCGATGTCCTCGAATCCTGAGTCTGTATTCGATCCCAATGTGTCTTACGCGTCTGGTGCGATTCCCGTACAAAACATGTCCACTTGGGACCCACCAACGCCTTCTTCTACGGCAGGCCCTGAACCACCCAGAAGCCACTACATGTCCCACTCACAGTCCTCTCAGGACTCTTTTGTGTCCTGGGGTTCAAACAGTTTGCAGATACCCTCATCGGCCAGTAGCGTCATGGAACGGTCGCTTTCAGCTGATCCCGGACATAGTGCGACTGTGACCCCGACATCATACGCCTCGCCTCATCCATTGTTCACTGGCCCCCCTTCCCCTGCAAACCATAGTGGGCCCAGTGCTTCACAGGCAGCCCCTCCACCAGCCCCGCCATCAGTAGATAGCGATCATGAACGCAATATGGTTCTAGATAACATTCGTGAAATCGATGTTGAACGAGCTGTTCTAGACAAATTCCGCTTGCCTAGTAGAAGTGGTTTGAATAGATATCTAGCTGCGTACTTTAATCTTTTTCACCACCATCTTCCGTTCCTGCATACAGGATCATTTAGCCCTTCCACGTTAGCCCCGCCTTTGTTGTTGGCTGTGTTGTCCATCGGAGCATTGTATACCTTTGAAAAGGAGCAAGCGTAAGTCTACCCGTCATCCACCTTCCATTGTCATCATCCTCATCACCATCACTACAAGCCCGATTGGAAATCTAACTAACTCCTCTGAAACGATCTGCCTTATTTATAGTTACACTCTCCATATGTCGTCCAAGGTTCTCGTGAATAATTTCATTGCTCGCCATCACGAATTCAACTCGCGTAATTGCCCGTTATGGACCACCCAAACTCTGTTGCTCAATATGGTCTTTGCCAGTTGGAGTGGCGATCCAAAAGGTTTGGATTGGGCTTGCTCCATGAGGGACTTGCTCGCTAATGTAATCATGGCACTCCTTCAACTATTGGCTTGATATGGATTTACTAACATAAACTCGCAGATCGTTGCTGGTGGCCGATACGAACTGCAAGTCCGAATGGACCAGCGTGGGGATGAGATGCCTACTCGTGAGGAATGGATCTTCGAAGAGGGCAGCAAGCGAACATATTACGCCATCTACATCTTCTTTGGTCTCCTGACTTTGACATACAACCACATACCAGCTATCACCTATCACGAGTTTGACACACTTTCTCTCCCCTGTTCCGAGACCTTGTGGAATCTCGATGGCTCCGATGATCAGATCTGGAGAGAGCACCTATCCAATGCTTCCATGCCCACCTTCAATGAGGCACACACCCGTCTTATCAACGGTGACATTCCTCAATACAGTGTATTCGCGGCTCGTGTTATCATTAGTGCTCTGTTCCTCGATGTGTTGGGACTTAAACGTGATACAGAGATTGTCGATAGTGTTGTCTCCGAGTATCGTGAGAAACTCAGTGTCGCGCTAGAAACCTGGCACAGAGCCCTGGAGTACTGCACGCCGGAGACAATGATCGTTTCTCTCACAGCCCCTCAGAAAGGACATCCTTTGGTGTTCAACAGCATGGCCATTTACCGCTGCGCCATGGCAAGACTCGAGGTGGACCTTGTTTCTATCCAGGAGACTCTTCGCTACCATATTCCTGAGGATGTCGCCTCCGTCATGACATCTGCGTCGGGGTTAATTCCTCGATCGGAACCCATGACGAAGGTCATTCAGCAGTGCTTTGAATGTTTTCAAATCCCCGCGTTGATGGGAATCCGCTGGGTCGCGAGAACTTTTGCACTGAACTGGAGTGTAGAGCACCCGCTCTGCGGCTTTGAGCTGATGTTGATTCTCAGTCTCTGGCTGTACCGGCTCGAAGAGGAGATGGAAACTGACCCGCCTACCGAGGAGGAAGAGGCTATGTTGACCAAAGTCCGAAATCTTTTTGATGACGATTCTGTGGAGTTGTATGGATCCAGACTCAGTGCTGCAGTTGCTATGGTCTGGGGGGGCATGATCGACGAAGTTGTTGTTTGGGGGTAAGTCATGTTCCTATTTCCAGTTCTAGTATCCTATTTGAATGCTAACATGGTACCCTCCGCAGAATCACGAAACTACTCGGCGAATCGTTTAAATTGCATTCGCATACTCTTGCGCTCAGCGATGATATCGGAATGACTTCGTCCTCATCACCGTCCCCATCTGCCACCCCCGAGGCAGAAGATTTGGACAGCGAGATGGAATAAATCCGCTCACTTCTTTTGAGAGGAGGGAGAAGAATTGAACCATGAAACCATGCGGATGATTAATCACACCTTTATTTATGACCGTTACGAAATCTTTTTCCTTTACACCCCTTTTTCATCTTCCCCCCTATTTCATTCCTAGTACCTTTTTGTTTGCCAAGATTATTTTATTAACCCCTTCCGTGATTCCCCATTTCTTTTTTACCAAAAAAAAATTTTCGTATTGTCTTTACATTAAAAAACCATACCCGGCTCTTGTGAATAGTTTTTGTTCTACGTTTGCACTTTTTGCACTTTGCTTTTACCTCACATCTCTGTTAAATGGCGTCTCTGGCTCGGTTCTGTCTGTCTATGGTTTTCAGCATGGATTGAGCGTTTAGTTTAATAACCTTTCCTTCTCCTTTCAAGTTATATCGGTCGGTTTTCTGAACAAAAGGTTTATTTACTCAGTTTTATTTGCTTGCTTGCTTAACCCTCTTACACTCTTCAAAACAACAGATAGGGCTCTTTATTATATCCAGCTATTTATTTGTTTGTCTGATTTTTCCCTTTTGAGTTTTTCCTGTTTGAGTTTACACGCGAAAGATTGGCTGGGGGGTTTAGTTTATTTGTTGTGTTCTTTTTTTTTTTGGAAATTTGGTCGTTTGATTTTGATCATACTTGGCCATCGAATTCCGGATTCGGACACGATGGAATGGAAACACTTTTTCTCTATATTTATTTATTATCATCTGTCTTTTATACATATCGTCATCATTGTTTTTGTTCTTCCCTTCATACCACTCTTTTTTTTTTTTTTTTTTTTTTTTTTTTTTTTTCACTTTTTGTTCCCGCATCAAGAAGGGAACAACATTCAAAAAAAAACACTCTGGAAGCTCTGGAAAGTTTTCATTCTACGATACTCGCTATAGGGAATGGTGGGGGAAGGGGGTTATCTTAAAATAATTTATTTTTTAATTATTGGAAAAGCACAGTAAAAACTAGTAACCTAAAAACCTGAGAAAGCGCACAGAACTTGACCACTGTTCAAATGCTCCATGCGAGTGAACAGTGAACGAATGAGAGTCCATCTCTCTCTCCCCAACCTCACATCACCCACCCCGGTTTCACCACTGCGGAATGATGAGTTGTGCATTTTTGCCGCCGCCCATTCATTTTTCCTCCTCTCCTCCCCACCCCCCCTCTCCTCCGGCTCACTGGCATTGGCCCCGCCGGCGTAGCGAGAATGGAAAAGAAATCGTGGTCACGAATACGTATGACAAGTTCTACCCTGCAGACTCGTTGTTACATATATCGGCGCTGCCGGGTTCGCGATGGGTAATAAATGCCCGGTTCGCGGCGCGCATGGGGGGGATGCTATTCGTTGTCGTTGTTGCGAGCCGAGGATCGTGCATGCGAAGGGAGGAAAAAGGAAAACCTGGCTTTTTTTTTTTTGCGGGGAAATGTGAGGAGGAGGTTATGGTTGTGCTGTACGGCACTGTAGGGTTTAGTCATTATAGTGTCTACTTGTAGCGCTGGTATGGTTGTTCTCGTGATGAGGAAGGGGAGGGGAGCTCCTTGGGTCTTGTGGGAGCGCCGGTTGCTGTGCGGGCATCAAAGTTTCCCTTCCTCCCTTCTCCCGAGAAATGCGGTATCATACATGCTCGAGATGGCGAGGGGGAAAGGGAAAGGGAAAGAGAAGTTATTTATGATACTCGACGCTATGTATCACGCGAAACTAGCAAAAAAGTGACTGGTAAGCAAGCAAGCAAGAGCGAGATGATGTTTTTTTGCTCGTCCGTCGGTCCCGTTGTGTGGAATCTCTCTCCTTTCACCCCAATGCCCGCGCCCGCCCCTCCGAAACGTAAATTTACGGTACGGTGGGGTATTCAAACGAGTCCTGGTGCGGCCGCAAGACTCCACGTGACCCTTTTTTTTTTTTAACACTTGTAGGTGTGGGGAGGAAACCATTATCGAGGGTTTGGACCGGCTGCACGCACTCCGCGGGGGAGAAGTGTGACACTAAGGGCAATACAGGAAAAAATGAGGTTTTGCTGGTATTGTAGAATGTACTTCTATTTCTTGGCGAGCACAATCGCCTCATTCCATAGCAAGCGATGAAAATCTGCAGAACAGTGATGACCACTGTTCAGAAATGGCTTCTCACAATGCTCAACTTGCTCTGGTGCCCTCTATGTCTGACGAGGAGAGAAACTAGTTCCAGTCTTTGGTAAATAAGCTCTTTAATCCAAGATCCCCATCCCATCCAACCACACAGAATCTAATCTCTAACTGGATGAGTAGCAAGAAAATACAGAATAGCTGGAATATGATTTTGCTCCACATCCAACCAATCACACCTTGCAGCAAGCCAACCCCATCCTAGTCCAAGATGTGGGTTTATGTCCTAGAGGTTCTGGTGACCACAATGGGGAACTTCAAGAAGACCTGAGGGGGTCACTTCCAGTCTCCGGTACACCTAATTCTCTAGTGATTGCATGTGTACCAACTACTACTAATAGTCCTCGTCCCATAGCTGCTATAGCAGAATCAGCTATTTGTACTGGAGGTTCGAGTATACAAGGGAATATCTTGTCACAGGAAGAAGATATAAGCATGAGTTTTAGACCTGGGATTGCTAGCAATTTTGAGAGTATTGGAATAGGGAAGGCAGGAAAGTAAGTATTTTTGAGATCTGATGAGGAGAAAGCTTAGCTTGTACCTCTATGTATTGCCAATTTTGGAGATTTTGGAGGTGGAAAGGAGAGGTTTTGATTAAAGATCAACTTGCTTTACAAGAAGCTGCATTCAGAAGGAATAATCCCAAATTTTAAAGGATATATGCCATACTTTTCTGTTAAGTGAAGGAAAGAATTGGAAAAGACCTTGAGCAAGAGTGAGATAGCGGATTTGGCAACAGGGTGGCAGTAGGCAATGGATCACTGGCTCGAACTAGTATGAGATTTCGAAACCTAAGTAAAAATCGATAAAAATTTGATAATCAAGGGAGAATTGGTATAGAAAAAGGAGTTGATTATACTATGCGAGAATATGACCAAGTCATTGATGCGAAAAAGGAGGCTGCCTGAGGCTTCCAGTATCTTATCTGAAGGATATAGTATTGTAGCAGATGGGACAGCTACACCTTTGAGTAATAGCAATAAGCATTGTGATAATAGCTTCTCAAGCAAGAAGTACCGGCTTCAGGGTACAAGTGCTGAACCTGGTGATGACCGGGTCCTTACCTCACAGCGGTAAATGAGCGACCGTCTTCTCAACACTTTATGTGAGGGTGAGGAGAAGATGTTAAAGCAAATACAGGACAAGGAGTTAGAAAAGATTGGTCACTGGAAGAAGATCCTAGGTGTAATGATTGCTCTTCAGCTTGTTAGTTCTTGGCAATGGGAAATGATACTTCTCTTCTTCTTCTGCTGTATGATAGCTCTTAGGCCTATGCCTACGTTACTGATAGTATAAGACTAATATCTTCTATCTGTAATGGCTATGGTAAGCTTCCTCTAACTCTACCTCGTGTAGAGTTCTCTTTATCGTAATAGTAATAAAGATCGTGATAGTAGTAAAGAGATTAAAGATATTTTATATTCATTATAGTAATAAGTAGGAAACTTATTGTGAGTACAATTTAATTTTATTTAAACTTGTACCGCTAACACTGGCTTACGACGAGCCCCTACCAGCACAGGGATACTGCTAACCAATATACCACTAACCTTGAGCTAACTAAGTCTATGGCCCAGCACCTACCATCTCCAAGTCATGCCTAGACGGAAACTAATTACAAGACCATCAAACAACTCAGCGCCATCTCTGGTCCAAGTTTGTAGCTCCTGTGGTATGAAGCCAACGAGCACTAAGTATAGCCGAAGCTGAAAAAAAGACAAACCGGACTGGGTTCCTCATCTGTAATGATCCTCCGTCGGATAGTTAGTTCTTGGCAATGGGGAATAATACTTTTCTTCTTCTCTCTTCGTCTCGCCTTACAATAGTACTAGGCCTCTGTCTACATTATATATAGTACAAGACCTTTGTCTTCTATCGGGAATGCCTATCATAAGCATTCTCTAACTCTCCTTCTCGAAGAGTATGTTTATTGTAGTAGTAATAATGATGGTGATAATGCTAAAGAGCGTAAAGGTATTTTATATTCATTAAAGTAATAAGTAGGGAAAGTCCTTAGAATAAAGCGTGAAGAAGCTATCCTCTGGGGCTGTACTTATAGCCAGTACGGGTACTCGGTTATTGGTTTTGTTTTAAGTATCGTTTTGATACTTGGTTTTGTTTTATATTTTGTTTTAAGTATCGCTTTGATACTTGGTTTGTTTTAAGTATTGTTTTGATACTTGGTTTTGTTTTATGTTTTGTTTTAAGTATCGCTTTGATACTTGGTTTGTTTTAAGTATCGTTTTGATACTTGGTTTTGTTTTATGTTTTGTTTTAAGTTTCGCTTTGATACTTAAGGAGTTTTACCAAAGAGTATCAATTGATACCTTTGATTAGTTTCGTTCATGCTAGACATGAACAGATTTGTGTATTTAAAGACCGCCTGTTTCTACGATAGAAAAGGCAGACTTCGACAGACAGTATTTCAATATACTTGGTTGAACGGTTACTTCTTTGTTCCTCAGTACACCATCGAAGCCTCCTTTAGTTCTCAGCTCTCACCTCCTCTCTGGAAGAGCAGGCCACCTGCCAACTATTGTATCTATCCCTGATAACGTGATTAGCACCTTGCGAACACGTTACAGTACTGGCCTCTTTATATATTGTTCTTCCCGAATCAAGTCATATGACTAAAGTGGTCACATGTGTAAAACCCATGACCACGTAGCAAGATTATATGCAAAAACAAGTTATATGACCCAAAGTGGTCACATGTGCAAAACCCATGACCTTATAACGATGTCATGTACAAAATATAAATCATATATGTAAGGCATATCCGCAAGACTTACTTGTAAGGCATACTCGCCTGGCTCATGTCCTATGACTCATAATCGAGTCATGTATGAAACATAACAATTCTTAACCTAAACAAGTCATATGACTAAAGCGGTCATGTGCACAAAACAATAACATACCAATGACTCATAATCATGAGTTATGTGAAAACCTTTTCCATGCCAAGCCACATTTGTGACATCATTCAACAAACAAAAATTACTACTAACCGGTTTGTATACTGTCCTACAGCCCATCCACTATAAGTGAAAACCAACAAACCACTTAAGCCTACAGGCGATATAATTGCTGGGAGGAGGTGACCAACTTGTCCACCTGTTGTGCCTACATACCAGGCCGTTGACTCTATGAACCCACTTTGCCAGTTGCCTCTGAAGAGCATAACAGTGAGAAGAACCTGTACCCGCTGCCCATTCTCTAAATAAACACTATAAATAAAAGACATACATAGAGGTAGTAACAGACCAAAATAGTTAGTGGGGCCTATCTCCCATTGGTGGTGCCATACCTCCTCCTGCCATACCAGTAGCTAAACCAAAGAAAACAAACAAACTCTACAAAGCCCAGCATGCAAGACCTAAAGAAGTCCAACCAGGTGGTTGCAACCCACTATCTTCACAGGTGGCAGTCAGCCTGCAGGTCTATCAAGAAACTTTACAGCACTCAGAAGCTTTACCTTAACAGTACAAGTATGTCGGAAACACTTAATTAGACCTCGCTCAACCTAACACAGGCCCAACAGGTGCTCAGAGGTAC